ATGGGAGATTCGAGGTCAAGTCTTTCCTATTGCAGTGAAGAGGTGCAAGTCAGTGGGAATGTGAAAGAGATGGACCTTCCGAATATGTGGTCTGCAAGGAAGAAGCAGTGGTTGGGTGATTTTTGCCTGCCAGGAACACCTGGAAATGTCTGGAGACATTTTTGGATATCTTATTGAAGAGATGTTACTGGTTTCTGGTGCACAGAGGCCAGGAGTCCTGTTAAACATCTTACAGAGCACAGAACACCCCTAGATCTAAGAATTGAGGGCAAACATTCATCAAAAACCAGTAGTGGTGAGGTCGAGAAGGCTTAGATCAAAGGAACACAATCTAAAACCATAAAGTCATATGCTAATATTGGTTAGTACTCAGTCCTACTACATGTATTGAATGCAGTATTCCAATATTTGGTTTTTAAGATGTAATACTTTCAAGGGTTCCAAAGGCAAATATAATGTGATTTTAAATGTTTTTTGTTTCTTTAAGAAATGACAAGGGTAGAAAATTCAACTCCTGAAACTGTGTTCATCAGGGCCTCCTTACTCTGTGAATCTTTATGAAATGGTATAGAAAAGTCACTCCTGCTCAAGTCCTTGACCAAAAATGAAGGGAGAAGACCAAAAGTACATTTGCCAGATGAATGGAAGCCTCAGCTGCCATGACCTTCAGAGCCCTGATCAGTCCCTGGACAAGAACGCCACCTGGCTCAGTGGCCTTTTGTCAGCTGAAACCATTATCCAATGAAATCTGCATTGCCAGAGAATTAAGTGGTGCCAATTTTAATTTTGTTCTCTGTTTAGGAACTAAGGTCAAGGAGGTTAGACTCCAGCATTTCTTCATGTTCCCACAATAGGTCACAATGTCTGCACCCCAGCACACCCTGGAATGGGTGGTCACTGACCCCCTGCAGGCTGAGGGAAGCCTGAGGACACCATCCTGGTATACTCTGTTCTGTAACCCGGAGCCCAGCCTAGGGTTATGACGTATCTATTGCACATACGGAGATCTATGGGGGCTGGTGTGGCTGATGTCCTGCCCAACTGCCCTTGGCCCTCACTCACTGCTTGGTGCTGATGAAGTCTCCTTCATCACAGTGAACATTGTAGGACCATTTCTGCCCAAGAGCTTCTTCTAGGGGGGAAGCATTTGGTCCATGCAAGAGACCCTGAGCTGTGAAGTGGGATGAAGGCCTAGGGAGTGCCCTGCAGCCGGCGAGGCTGGGACTTGCAGATGATACTCCTGGGTGAGGAATACAGAGCTGGCCCAGTTGGCAGCTTTCCACTGGGTCCTTGTGACTCAGCTCAGAACCAAATAGAAGATGCATGGTTCGACCACACTCTTCTACTGCAGAAGTCCGCAAAGTACCAGGCGTCAGAATGACTTTGAGACTAGGATAAAATGCAGATCCTCAGGCCTGCTCTCTCTGCTTCTGGTTTAGAAGGTGTAGTTCAAACTTTTTGGTGGGAAGGGGGAAGGAGCAATAACAGAATACCATCAACTGGGTGGCTGAAAATCCCAGAAATTTGTTGTCTCATAGTTCTGGAGCCCGGAAGCCCGAATCAATGTGTTGGCAGAGCTGATCTCCTCTGAGGGAGAATCTGTCCCAGGCCTCTCTCCCAGCTGCTGGTGGCTGCTGTGATCCTCGGCTTGTAGCTGCCTTGCTCCAGGTTCTGCTGACTTCACACATTTTATGGTTTAGATATAAAATGGCCCCCCAAAGCCTCAGATGTTTGGAACGTGATTGAATCATGGGAGCACTATACTTATCAGTGATGATAAGTATACTTATCCACTAATGAACTCAGAGCTGAATGTGCTGTTAGCAGGTGGGGCCTGTTGGAGTTAGGTCACTATGGGTGTGACCTGGAAGGGTGTATTCTTCTCCCCAGCTCCTCTCTTCTCTCTCTCTGCTTCCTGGTGCCATGGTTTGAGCCCCTTTTCCTCTGCCAGGTCCCTCTGCCATACTGTCCTGCCTTGGAGCCAGTGGACTATGGACAGAAACCTCTACAAACTGTGAGCCAAATAAACCTTTCCTTCTTTGTGAGTGTCAAGTATTGTGTCTCAGCAATGGGAAAGCAACTAAGATGGAAATTGGTACTGGAGAAGTGGGGTCATTGCTGTGGGTATACCTGATCATGTCGTTCAGAGCCCTTTGGAAGTGGTTTGTGGGTAGAATTTGGAATGGCTTGGGAATGCAGACTAGAGAAGTTCTAGAATGCTGTAAGCCAAACATGATGGGACTGTTGGAGCTCAGAAGACCAGAATGGTGACAGAAATGCAGACAGGAAAGGGTAAGCTCAGGAAGTTTGAGTTGTGAAAAAGGACTCCACTGGCAGTCAGATGGAAGTCCAGGTGTGTTGCATCCTGGCAGAAAATTTGTCTACATTTTGCCCATATCCTGAAATTTTATGGAAAACTGAGATTGAGGGCAGTGGACTAATTAATCTTTTGGAAGAAATTTCAAGGCAGCCCAGTGTTCAGACTGTGGCATGGGTGCTGCTAGTTGCCTTTAGCCAGATCTACATCCTTGGAGCTATCCAAGTATGAACTGAGCTCAATGAAACCATGAACTAATATAAATCTCTCCTCCTTTAAGTTATAGGTGCTGAGTACATTGTCCCAGTGAGTAGAAAGTGACTAATATACCAGGTCTGTGAAAAATAAAAAGAGCTGGAGCTGTTGGAGGTGTTGGGCATGTTCACAGCCTGCCTCTGTGCTCAGCATCCTAGATCCATCCTTCAAATCCCTACAGAGCAGACCTTGAGAAAAAGGTACTTGATCTAATTTTCCAGCTACTCAAGCACCAACACAGCAGGTGCCTCAAATGTGGGATTGCAAGAAGAGGTGGATAAAAGTTCCACTTTATTCTTGGTTTAAAGTATAAACTCTTGGCTTTGTGACATGTCATAGCCATTTTACAGCTGAGCAACTATGGCAGGGAAGGCTGTGGATGGTGGGAATGTGCCTCCCTTCCTAAGCAATGGAGAAGGATGGCATCTGGCATGGAATGATGTCATGAGGGGCCAAGGCCAAGTTCTCTCACCTGTGTCCCTTATGGTAGACAAGGAGTGCACATGCACTGACTGATGGCTCCAGACTTCAGGGCCACCAGGCAGTGGTCAAGAGAACAGAGAGGCTGCGATGAAGGAGCAGGAACCCTAGGTCAGACCCCATGCGACAGCGCCCCCACGGGTATGTCCTTTTATGCCTCCTGCAGTTACAAATACCCTTCTGTCCACTGCCCTGTCTGCAAAATGACTTCCTCTCTCTTCCTTGATTTTGCCAGCCTCATTATCATGCATCTCACAGGGATCCTCAGCATAGCTGGGCGACTCTGCATTTCCCTGATCACCAAACACTCCACCTGAGAAGGGGAACACCGAATTGGCTGAAGCTACTATAAAGCTGGGTTTCTGCTCAACACAGCCAGACATAGCCCCTAAACGACACAGGAGGGATAGTATGTTCTCATTTCCTTTGAAAAGGAAATGGTTTTGGTTTGGAAGAATCCAAATTGAAGCCTCTTCTGGCACACAGCTAAATGTGAGCTGGTGCTGCCATGTGCTTGGGTTCCCCCTGGCTCAGCCTTTCACAGACCCCCATTTGCCAGCTGGGTGTCTTCGTGGTGTCTGGTTCTGCTGGCCAGATGCCAGGCCACCCAAGCCCTCAGCTGCTGACCTGAAAGAGCTTCCCAGCTCCCAGTTTCTCAAAGCTGGCTGGATGGTGAGGGGGCAGCAAGGAGTCAGAACCACTCACGACAGCAGCCCCACTTCTCATGTCCCACGGGCTGTGGTCACTGAAGTCCTTCCCTTCTGCAGCCCAAGCAGGGGGTCAAGGAGCTGTGGAGCTCTGGCAGGTGGGGCCTGGGATGTGTGTCTGGACTGACCTGGCACCCACCAGTCCATAGAGCTGCAGCTCCATGGCACGAATGACAGGCTGCTGCCTCTGTCACCTCCCCAGGTTCCCTCTGGGAGAGGAGCCCTGTCCTGCCCTGTCCCTGTCCTACCACTGTCTGCCCCCTGAAAGCTCAGGGACAGGGAATCCAAGCTTCCTTCCCACAGCAGGTCCCTGAGTCTGCCATGCAGTCTCCTTTCTCCATGTGTCGTCCTTATTCCTCTAATGCCTCGCCCAGGACCAGCTGGGCATGGGGCCTCCACACCCTCCCCCCAGGAGGCAGTCATGAGGCCCACTGCCTTTCCCTGTGTCATCTGCTAAGGCCCAAAAGCAGGTGAACACAGGCGAAGGCACTGACCCCCCCTGACCTCTATCTGACCCTGCAGGACCATCTCTGAGGTCTGCAAGTTCACAGCCTGACTCTGGAGGAGGTCAAATGGGGCCACCCCAGTCCACACCCTGCTCTGGCAAATTAGCCACAGGTATTTGGACCCTAGATACCAACATTTGCAGGGAGCAAGCCTGACTCCTCCACTTCCTCTGCTGACCAGCACCTGTGAGGGTGAGCTGGTGGCCAGGGGCACTCCTGCAGAGCCACTCCCAGACTCCGTGTCCTTCTGCTCCCTATGAGCCCAGGGTGCAGAGGTACCTGAACACTAGCCCCTACACAGTGAGGATCTAGTGTTCACCTGAGAGTGCTCCTGGCTCTTCAGGCATGGCATCAACAGCCTCGATGAATTTTTATAACCCCTACATTGTAAGAACTATTTCCATGTGGACACTGGCCAGGAGGCTCAGCAAGCTGAAGGACCCTGCCTCAGGTCGCTCTGATAGGGCAGAGCCAGGTAGCCCCAAGCGGCTCCCTATGAGGGCTCCTACCACAGGTCTCTGTGCTCAGCCATCTCTATTGTCATGGGACAACCGGGGCCCCAAGAGGAGGTTAGTGGGGGTCAGGCCTCACAGCAGCAGAGGCACGATTGGACCCCAGCTCCGTTCCCACCAGGGCCCTGGGTCTCACTCTGCCTCCCCTTCCCTCCCACCCTTGGGCAGCGTCCACCAGGGCCTGAACCATGACTCTTCTGGGCATGCTGCCTGGAAGACTTACTTCTCTCTGTTGAAGATGATGAATTCCTTCCGCACCGTCTCCAGACACTGCTGCAGGTGCCCGTTCTGCCAAAGAGCACAGAGAGGACTAGGTGACAGTGCTGTCCAGGGACTTGTGGCTGAAGGTCAAGGATTGAGTCACCGCTTGGGGCCAGGGCGGGTGCTGACTATACAGGTGGCTGCAACCCAGGGATGGATGGTGGGCAGGTGTTCATCTCATTTAGCATGGAAGATGGACAATAGGCCTGGCTTGGTCTCCTGGCATCTGGCTGTCCACTGGGCCTGCTTCAGACACCAGAGGAGGAGAAATTCAAGACCACCATGCAAGGGCCCGTCCTCCTTAGGGCCACAGATCCCCTCTGGCAGGTGCCCCAAAGGCCCTCAAAGGCGGGGTTAGATGGCACTCAGGGCAGAAAGCAGGCTCCTCTCTGAACCCACAGGCCAGAGGCTCCAGGCCAGTTCTGCAGTGGGCACCACTGGCCAGGGCCTGGGATCCATGAGACTTTTAGGGGCTGGGAAGATGTTTTAATTACTATTAAAGTAAGAAGGAGAAAAAGAACTTTCAGTATTGAAGTTTGTACTCATCTTCATACCAATGCAGTCATAAAAGGAAACATTTATTTTTGATAGAGGAGGGCAGTATTGTGGCTTGAACTGTGTCTCCCAAATGTGTTCAACTGTTAAGCCCTGGTATCTGTGAATGTGACCTTATCTGGCAAAAGGTCTTTGCAGGTGTAATCATGGCCATAGCGGATGAGGAGGGGCCCTAGAGCCTATGACTGGTGTCCTGATATGAAGACCACAAGAAGACACAGAGACAGGCCAGGGGGACATGGAGGCAGAGATGGTGGTGATGCTGCCCTCCAAGGGACATCAAGGGTTCCCAGCAAAAGCCAGAAGCTGGAAGGGCCAAGGAGGGCCCAGCCCAGCCCCACCACCTTTGGAGAACACAGGTGTTATCTCCACTGAGAACTTCTGGCCTTCAGAATGGGGAGAGAATACATGCTGGTTGTTTGAAGCCACTAATCTCTGGTGCTTGATTATTAGCCTGGGACACTAACTCAGAGGCCCTTAAAGTAAAAGTGCCAGGGCTCTTGAAAGTCACAACATGGCCCTGGGGCCTCTGCAGTGTAAAATCTTCCTAATGGGTGCCCCAGGACTACTGGGGATTGATTGATTCCATTGATTCTCTTCAGGTTGCTGGTGCCAATCCCCCGAGCTAAGACAGGGGGATGACTTGGGCAGGAAGGGCGAAGTGAAAAGGCCCTTTGTCCAGAAAGGAGGCCTGCCAGTATTTTGTCTCACACCCACTGTCCCTGAGGGGAGCTCACCAGGGGACAGGTGTCCTTCGTGCCATCTCTGGACCTGTGCTTTGCCAACCTCTTCTTCTTTTTGTGAAGTGGCTTGGATTCTAGAATCATTTCCTCAAGTTCAAAGGTGGGGTCACAGTTCAGCCTGCCTTTCTGAAGGGAAGAGGAAAAGAAGACATGGTCGGTCAGCATCTCACCAGCCACTGAGTTTTCTCTTCATTCACTGAATCAGCCACTTGGTCATTCATCAGATAAGGATGAACTACCTCCCTGGGACGCATCAGCTGCATTTCTTTCTGGTGATAAAGGCAACACATCCCTGCATCCATCCTTGACTCAGAGCCATCGTCCCACTCCAGGGTGGCCCCACCCTGTCACCATTCCTTAGTCTTACTCCTATGCATGATTTGTACATGAGATTGAATTCTGCTTTCCCATTCGATTTTTCCACTGATTATTTTATCATACAGGCATTCTCAGCTCATTAGTCTCTTTTTCAACAATTTAATTTTTAAAAAATGCCATTTCCGATCAACATCTGTCCAGTTGCCTGTCCTGGTTTCCTGTTTCCTCACAGCTGGAGCCAGCCACCCTCCAGCCCTGACCATGCCGCAGGCCCAGGCTCCCCCTACTCTGACTTTGGGACTCCAGGCTCCTGAGAGCCATTCCTGGTCCCCAGGCCTGCCTTGGTGACTGCCCCAGACACCAATCCCCTTGCAGTGCAGTCCAGCAGTTACAGCGGCCCTGGAGTCACGCAGGGAGGCCTCACACAGGGAGGCCTGGTGCTGCTGCCCGGACCTTGGCAGGCCCATGGCTTCCTCAGACTCTGTTCATCACCTGCAGCCTGGAGAGCAGAGCCTGTCCTACAAGGTGGCTCGAATCATCCCTCCCAAGTGCTTTGGGCGGCCAGGCAGGAAGCAGGTCCTTCTGAATTAGCTGTCCTTGAACCTGTAGAGGACGGGCCTGCTGTGGCTTGGCTATGAGTGAGGCAGGATGCAGACCTGGGGTTGGGCAGCCTGGCTGTGCACTGCACTCACACCCTCCCACCACTCTGGGAAGGAGGCCTGAGCCGGCTCCTGCCTGACCTGCAGCCGAGGACACTCCCCCTGCTGCTTCCAGCCCTTGAACCTCCCACAGAGCTCTGGGCCTCCAGCCCAGCTCACAGGCCAGGACGAGCTGCTGCAACTTAGCAGGGCTGGGCTCAGCTACTTAGCACCCGGCCAGTGCCCGTGTCACAGCCTGAGGGCGAGAGGAGGACTGGCTTTGCAGGTGGAACTGGGGTAAGTGTCGGAACCTCTCTGGGGCTCAGTTTCCACAACTGTAAAATGAAGGCAGCAACACAAATCTGTGAGGCCAATGTAAGGCAACAAGGAGAAGCCTCTCCCTAGGTCCCTGCCCCGCAGGAGGCCCAACACTACAGCTGTGGTTCCTGTTTCCTCGGGAAGTGGAGTGATGGCCTGTATTTCCTCGGTCTGAGAGGCAGGGCCTCACCCTCCTGCTGGGAATCCCCATTGGGTCCTCTGGAGCCCAGGACTCTCCCCTGGGGCCACAGGGCTTCTTCACCACCGACTTCTAGAACATGTCTAAGCCTCCCCTCCCCTTATTACATCGTGCTGTCCTCTGGTGCTTGTCCTTTTCCAAGGACCAGCTCCAACTCCTGGCCCAGGTCTCTCCTGGCTCCTTTATCTGCCATCCATCCATCCATCTGTCCGTCCGTCCGTCCGTCCATCCATGGTCCACCCGTCTGTCCGTCCGTCCCTGCCAATGGAGGGCCCGCATCCAGCCTGCCTGAATTCAAGCCCTTCTGGTTTCTCACCAGGCAATCTTGGGTAAGCCACTGCACTTCAGCAGAATGCCAGCAGGATCACCTCTCAGGTCTCATGTGAAGCTTCTAAGAGATGATGAGTGTGATGCTCCTAGAACAATGCCTGGCATGGGGACAGGCATGGTCCTGCTGGCTGTTACCATTTACTCCATGCGCCTGTGACAAGCACACACTGAGCCACCATTGCTCTGGGGGCCCTCTAGACAGAGGCAGTCAACCCTAAGCTCTCAAGGTGACGGCAGATGTGCTGTACCCAGCAGGGTCAATCCTAACACAGCCCGGGCACCTGTCCGGAGGGAGAGAGAGGCTCAGATGCACTACAGGGAAGGAGGGGGATGGGTCACATCTGGTGCATCTTTCACGCAAAAGGCCTTTGCTGAGCCTCTCACCTGAGCCTCATGGGAGGGGTAGGAGACCACTAAGGGTTGGGGCCGAGAGGACCAGGGAGAGCCAAGCAACAGCAGGGCTGGCTGCAGGCAGCTCATGTGACAGGCCGGGCCTCTGTGTAAGTGTGTGTGTGTCGGGGGGGGGGGGAGTGGGTGTGCATTTGGAGGGGACTGGGGAGCAGGGGCTGGTGAGCGTGGTAGAGGCAGGTGCTCATCTACAGCAGGCTCATCCACTAACTGACAGGGCCACATGTTGGCCCCAGGGCCCCAGAGCACCTGCACACAGCCCAGGGGATCCAGGACTGGGCAGGGAAAGCAGGAATTAGGGTGTGTGCACACGTGCATGGCTTCCTGGAGAGCTGAGACCCTGGGCCTGCAGGTCGGAGGCCTCAGGGGTGCCAGGCATTTCTCTGGAGGGTCCGTAGCGGGCATCCTGAAGCAGGCAGCTCAGGGACAGAGGGTGTATTCCAGGGGGTCAGTGAGTAAAGACAATAGCTGGGCCTGGTGGCATACGCCTGCCATCCCAGCACTCTGGGAGGCTGAGGCAGGAGGATCACAAGTTCAAGCCCAAGTCACCCTGGCTCTCAGGGAAACATGAAGCCCTAGTGCTCTGGTGGCCCTGGCCCGAAGACGGCTCCCCGGCCAGCTTCAGGGCCCAGGCTTCACACCCAGATGGGGACCTGCTGAGGGGTGGCATGCCACCTACAGGGCCCTACTCACATTGGGCACAAAGCCGGGCATCAGCGCCTTTTCGAACACGGCGTCCCAGTTCATGTCGGCCAGGTAGGGCACACTCTGAATGTCGCTGAGGCTGGACAGGCGGCTCTCGGGGTCCTTGGTCAGGAGCTGAGGTCAGAAGGCAAACATGTCACTGGATCTGTGCATGGCCAGCCCTCTGGGGACAGCCAGGGTGTCCCGGCTGCCATGCTTGTCATGGCCAGTCTGGGTCATCGGCAGTGCCGTCTGCACATCACTTACAGCCAGAGGACAGGCTGTGTCTGCAAGGTCCTCAGACAGGGGACTCTCGGGGCAGGGCCTAGATTTCCTAGACTTTCAGCTTCCATGTTCCATTTTGGGACAGAGCCCTGTGATGTTCCACCTCTCCCTGATATCTTCAGAGGCTTCAGTTAGGAAGAAAAAAGACCAGCTGCCTTGTCTTAGCATTTCCAACTTGCTCATGCGAGCTACAACAGCCTCGTAGCGATACCCCCAGCTATGAGCGACCTCTGTGGCCTTCTGGTGTGGCCTCATCCGCACCCCAGGGGACCACTTTGAGCTTCAAATTGAGTTCTGCTCACATGGGCGATGCAGTATGAAAGCAGCCACAGACTCGGCTTACACCTGAGGCGCTCTTGTCCTTTCCAAACATTCCAGCTTGCCAGGTGCAAAGGTCCCTGCTGGGAGCCATACCCCTGGGACTGTCACCCCCGGCCGCTGGCCTCTGCTGAGCTGCTGAATGCATGTGCACTCGTCTCCACGTGAAAGTGGGAAGCACAAGGGCAGCTCTTCTCTTCTTTTCCAGCTCGTGGTGAGGGTGAGACCCACACAGGACTGGTAAGGATGTGGCACTTTCCGAGGAGCAGTGTGTCACCAGTGGGGACCTGGAAATTGGGGCCCCTACACCAAGGATTTCACCTCTCATTGTGGAAATGTCCCAGCTATGCCCACTGAGCACGCTGGAGTCACATCACCTGAGGGACACGGGCAGGGCCGGCAACTGCTGTCCACAAGGGCCTCTATTCAGGGGCTGCCCCAAAGGTGCTGGTGTAGACTGCCACTTCACTGCCATCGGGAAGCCACCATGGACGGTTGTTCTGAACACTCCCTGGGACTCCATGGGGATGCTGGGAGGGGCAGTGTGGGCTTCCAGGTGCTTCAGCCACCTCAGGGCTGAGGCCCACTGCCTTGTTAGATCCATGTGCTGGGTCTCCCTTGGGATGACTGGGCTAATTAGCCACAAGTCCTAGCTGTATCAGACTGAAAGCTAGCCCTGGGGTAGCAGGACTTGGGTTCTAGCCCTGCCTCTGCCCCTGAGCAGCTCTGTGGCAGTTGTGGAAGGGGTTTCCTTTCCCGAGCCTTGGCTTCTTTGTCTCTCCTACGGGGATAATGACAGCACCTTGGTCACAGGGCTGGTGGGGTCCAGTGGGGAAGAGTCCCACGGGGTGTAGAACACGTGACCCTCCACCCACACTGCAGCTGTGCTCATCAATTCTTGCATAAATGGCTCTGCCAACCATGCCACAGACCCTGGTCTGGGCATGTGAAGGGAACCTAGAGGGGCACCCAGACCTCTTACCTCTGCCAATCTGGAGCTGGCACCAGAGTCACGGAAAACACATCACATAGAGAGAGGGGCCCAGCCCAGGGTCTGACTCAGGGATCTGGAGGGGAAACTGGGAAACATGCAACAGGGGATGCTGCTGGGCCAGGGGCCACACCTGCAGCAGCTCCTGCCAGAAGCCAGGAGGTGACCAGTTTTCTAAAGCTCAAGAGATTCATCTCAAGCCACAGGCCTGGAGTGTTTCTACTCCTGAGGAGCTGGGAGTAGAGGGAAAAGTGCCTGGGGCTTGCTGTCCCAGAGCCTACGCTCCTTGCCACCCATCTGCATCCGGTGGTGGGGCTTCCCACTCAGCCTCAGAGGCCAGGCACCAGGTCTCCACTGACCCTGTGCCCCGTGTCCCATTTCAGCATACCCTGCACGCCTGTGTCCACACTAGACGACCCTCCAGGTGGGGCTGCCCTCCTACCTTCTTCAGCAGGGCCACCATGCCCGTGCACCACGTGGAGGAGTAGTGGACACGCTCCACCTTGAACATGTTGAGGATCTCATCGATGGGCGTGGATGAGTGGATTTCATAGGGTCTCTGCAACCAAGGGACAACCCCAGAGTCAGACTAGGAGTGTAACGCCCAGGGACGGTTTGCTCTCCCCTCAGGTCACAGCAGGTGGCCCTCTTCCATGGCAATCTGGTGGCCTGGACCAGTGTGCCCAGAGGAGCCAGCATGGGGAGTGCAGGAGCCCAGCAGGAGGGTGGTGCTGCCAGGGCCACAGGAAGTCAGGTGACTCTCCGGGCTCACCTATTCTGTCACTGGCAGAGGCAGAATTCACACCCAGCTTCCTGGCCTGGATCCCTGTTCTGGTCACAGTCACCCAGGGACACCTCCAGGGATAGACCTCATCTTCTGGTGGACCTTGATTGCCACCTTACCCTGAGGCTGGACTGCCTGTGAGTGGGCAGGGCTGACATTACAGATGACATGAAGGGACACAGGAAGAAGACAAGCACGTACGAGCCAAGGAGAGGACCCTAGAACAGCTCACCCCAGGAGGAAGGGGCCCTGCCCATGCCTTGGCCTCGGCCTCCAGCCTCCAGAGGTGTGCGATGATAGATTGCTGCTGCTTGAGCCCCAGGCTGTGCGACTGCTGTGGAGGCACAGGAAACAAACACAACCACCCCCGTGTCCACATGCAGAGCTCTGACCCAAGGGTCTGGCTCTGCTCCGAGATGTACCGCTCCCTCTGTGGTCAGGTCCCAAGGAGGAGGGCGGATGGTCCCTGCTGCTCTGGCCTGGCTGGGGCGGAGAGCCAGGGAGCAGAGGTGTCGGGGTGCGGAGATGTGCTGTGGGGTGCCGGGATCCTGGGAGGGCCCACAAGCTCTCTGGGTGGCCAGGGCTTGGTAGAGGGGCTTCTGGACTGTTTGGGGCCGCCCTGTCTTCCCATCCTTCTCCTTTCAGTATACTATTCTTCCCACCCTGTGCCCGCACCTGGGGTGCTGCGAGAAGAGTCTCATCTGATTCTCACGAAAAAGTCAGGAAACCAAGGCTCAGAGATGAAAAGAGACTTTCTTGTGTCCCAGAGAGATACAGAGTATTCCACCAAGCTCTCTCTGCAATGCTTCCAGAGGGTGGCGAATCCCAGTACCCTGGGGCAGAGCCAGCGGGAACAAAGGCAGAGACCTCCTGCACTGAGGGCCCTCATCTCTGCTTCCTTCCTGGCCACTTCCAGGACCTCATTAGCTCTGTTTCCACCAGACCGCCAGGTGAGCCGAGCCGACCTCTCCCTAAACTGCAGTTCTCTCCACTTCTCTAAGGAGAGGGAACAACAATGTCATGAGGACTCTAAGACACCTCGAGGCCGGTGTGGTGAAGGCACTGAGAAATAAGCCTGTCCCAAACACTCCCAAACCTTTAGGCTCTGGGTTTGGTACCAGGGATCAAACTCAGGTCTTTGTGTTTTCAAGGCAGGTGGCGGAACCACTGAGTTATATCCCAGGCCCTGCCCTCGCCTGTTTGGATGGTTCTATGGAGTCCCAGGTCCTCTTTCAGGACTCACTGGCCAATAGTAAGATCAATATCCGATCCGCTGGTAGTGGAGAATCTACTGATGCTAGGGCTCATTCACTGGCCTCAGGATGGGGTGACTCAGGCAGGTAAGGGGTTTACTCGGTGAAGTAATGCATGTGCTCAGGTAACAGCGATTTTAGCAGCCGGACATTGGATATACTCATTCTGAAGTGCAGGTGTCTCTATTCCAGGAAACTTGGTTTATAAAAAGTACCAATTTACCATGAAACAGAGGGAATACAGAGGAAAAGAACTGCTGTAGTCCAGTTATTTTAACTGTTAGGGCCTAGCTGGGATTTGGAGACCATCTGATCCAATGTTTTTCCCCCTAAAATCTCTTTACTCCAAATCCCTGTATAGAATAGATGAAAGTGAAGGACAGTTCCTCAGGCATTTTAAACCTTCAAAGCTTGAGAAGATTTCCCACTCTGGAACTGTCCAATCACCTCTGCAGGGGCCCAGAGCTCAGGAAACAGTTTAAAACCTCAGGATAATCCAAGAGGTTCCTCCTCCTCCTTTGGAAGGGAGTCCTCTACCTCCCAAGTTCCTGACTCCTGTCCTGGTGCTCTGTCTGCTTTACTAAGAGACCAGAAGTCAGTATTCAACCCAAGGCCCTTGTTATGGCTTGTGTCCAGATGTCCCTCAAAGCGTCAGGCAGTCATAGGGCTTTTGCAGAGGTGGTTGGATCTAGTGTGTGATGCTAGGATTAAGGGTGTGTGATTACTAAATCAGGACACTGATTAGTTTGGCACCACCCTAATCCTGGTAGTCTGGAAAAGATAAAAGGGGCAGAAAGCAGCTGTTAAGGCTCCCTGTTGCTTCTGTTGTCTTCTGCATGCAATGAACTGTTTCTCCTCCAAAACAACACTCTGTCATTGGAGCCAACCGATTATGGACTGAAACCTCTATAGACTGTGAGTTAAATAAATCCTTTCCTCTTTAACTTTGGGTGTTGGGTATTTTGTCTCAGCAATGAGAGAAGACAGAATTTGGTACCCAGAGTGGGGTCATTGCTGTGACATTACCTGGCCATGTGGTTCAAGAGCCTTTGGAACTGGCTTGTGGGAAGGGGAAGAGTTGGGAAAGGTTCGGAGCTGCTGGATGAAAAAGTAGAGCTGGAACACCTTAGGCTGTACTTTATGGAGATTCTGATCAGAGCTCAGAAGACCAGAAAGCTGGTAAAAACCAGGCTAAGGAGGTTTCTATTGGGAAGGATGAATTTGCTGCTGGACTCCAGATGATGTGTATTATGTTTGGCAGAAAGTTTGTGTGCATTTTGTTTGTGTCCAGAGACTTTGCCTGAGGCTGAGATTAAGGGTGGTGGACTAATTAATCTGGCAGAAGAAATTTCAAGGCAGTCTAATGTTGAGGTGGTGGCATTTTGGCTCAGCAAGGAGAGAAAAGTAACCAAGACAGGCCTCCTTCTCCTTTTGTTAACTTGAACTTACCTACCAGGTGTGCACTCTGTCATTCTTAGTTGTGCACTCCAATGGGTAGAGGGAGCTCTTGACAGTCTTGTCCTATGCCCTGGCCTCTCTACACCCCAGCTTCTCCATTTATGCAGATAACTTGGGTCAGAGTAACACAGGTGAAGGGGGTGGTGGTGGTGGGCAAGCATGTGCCACAGAGTGAGCCTTCTGGGGCCACTCTAAGCTCACATCAGGAGTCTCACATTCAGGGACTCAGTCAATCTTGACCTGCTAAGGGTTGGCCCCCAGGTGTGATCCAATGGGATGGTTAAGCTTAGTTGTCAACTTGGTTAGTTTATGAACTGTCCAGAGTATTAGTAAAGCACACTTATGGGTGTGTCTGTATGGGTTATGGAAGTGTGGCTTGGGTACTATATATGCTCCCTGGCCTTCTCCTCTCTGGCACTGGTCCCCTGTTCAGCTTCCTACTCACCATGAACTAAGCAGCTTTGCTCCACCAATTCCCTTTTGCTATGATGTTCTTGTCCTGGAGCCAGCCAACCATGGACTGAATCCTCTGAAACTATGAGCCAATCAATAATGCTTTTCCCCCTTTAAGTTCTGTTTGTCTGGTCCAGCCCCTCATTCTACTGCTGGGAAATGGTTGCCCAGAGGGGAAGGGTCTCACACAGGGTCCATGGGTGAGCAGCACCAGGTCAAACCTTACAGTGCTACAGAGTAGGTTTTCTGGGAACACTCCAAGCCCATATTGAGAGCACTCCTCTGCAGTAGCCTTTTCATGCCAGTGATAAAAAGCTGACCAACACATCCAACAGCCTGTGCTCTCAGGCCTGACTCTATCATTTGGAGAGTGCCAATTTAGAACACAGGCCAGTCACTGGGTGCCTCCAGGGTGGGAGTCCCATGGGCAAAGGGAAGGAAGCTATGTTTACAGACTGCTGGCTGCAATGAGGTATCTGGTAGAACCAGGGTCTGAGCCTGTGAGATTCCTTTAAGGTTCTTTCTCTGTTACAAGGAGGCAGCTTTCAGTTGAGCAAGAGGAAAACCTGTAGGTCATTAGAGCTGTCCAAAATGAAATAGACTCTTTCTGGAGGTAAGGAGCTATCTGAATCCCAAGGGTAATCAACTGACCTTTCCTTTTCCAGAAGGGACCTGTTGGGGGTGTGGTGGCTGACATGACAGAGCAGGTGTAAGGAGGAAGTGTAACTCCTTCATGCACATAGTCCATGGGTGAGTAGGGGTGTTTCTCCCTGTGGCTTTTGGACTAAATCTTTCCCAGTATGAAATGCCAAGAGGAAGCTACTTGTTCAGGCCCATTGCCCTTTGGGTGGAAAATTAAGCCAGGCCACAGCATTTGGGAGAAAGGTTTATGCTGGTTCATAACAGGTGGCCTTCATTCCATCACTTTATCCCCATGCCATTTAGCTCCCAGCTGACCATTTGTTTCCCCTTGTCTGCTGAAAGTGGCATCTGGATCTTTGAGCAGAAAATGCAGAAGGATTAAAAATGAAGCAGTTTATTTTTGAAGCATCAAAAATAGGGCTTTTTGCAAGTCCTCGTCTTTGGCTGTCCTGACCCCTGAGGAACAACTGCCACAGTCCTTCCTGCTTGGCAGTCTCCAGTCATGCTTAGGGCAGTGCTGGCCAAGGTCACAGTGTGACAGATTTATGACTAAGACCCCTATGGTACCCCTGGCCCTCCTGTCCTCCTCCCAGCTGGGCATCAGCAGAACCAGAGGAGCCAGCCAGAAGCAAGCAAACCCATGGGACATTAACTCTCTCATCCAGTGACTGCAAAAATGAACAAGTTCATCTTTTCTTTGCATTGTAGGAACCACCAAGTGCAATAATTACATTTTGAGGAATTCAGAGATTACTTGGATGAAGAATTGACTTCAAGAGCAGGAAGTAGTTGCCTGAACTAGAGGGTGATAAATAATATTTGCACTCAGAGGGCTTATGGTTGATAGACTGCGGTCATCATTCATTTAGTCCCCATTATCACCATGCCTTGGGGACCCCGCTGTGACACACCCTGCCCCACCCTTGAGAAGGGTACCCTCTGCTACATGAATATGCATGTATACAAATGACTTCCAAGCAATGTTAAAATTGCAGCCTGTGGACTCCGGAGCCTTACAGAGGAATAAAACACAGACTGTGGCTCCCCCAGTCCCGGGTGCACACACACATCCTACAGCCCCAGCCCTGGGAGCGCATTGGAAGGGCCTTTTCCTCCGTGCTGTACAATGGGAGGGGTCCCGGGAGGTATGGTGACAGCATTTTCCAAAGCTACTCGTGCAACAAAAACATGCCTCAATATGAGTTTTAGTCATAAAGCTTTCTGCTCAAATAAAAATGAGTTATTAGTTGCTAAGTCACTTCCTTAGTCATCTCCAGCTATTACATGTAAATGAACTACAATAAAGATGGATAGTGAACATCCTAGCTCATTTGTATAGGGCGCTGAGTAATGTATTCTGGGGAAGATGGGACCCAGACAAACAGCGACAAGGACAATAACGCAAGACAGAAAACAGAGCTTCCAGTCAACCCGGGAACCTAGGCTCGAAGTGTTGTGTTGCGGATTTAAAGGTGAGAGGGTGTGAAAGCCTGTAGCCACGGCGCCTTGGGGTGTGACCTGGCCCGGTCACCTGCAGACCTCGTGTGGGACCCCTCCCCTCCCCTCCCCTCTGGGCCCCATCCGCAGCAGTGGCCTGAGGGGCTGGACCAGCGCTCACCGGTGGGGGTCCAGATGCCCAGGGCCCGTTGAGGTGGCTCGGAGGCCAGGCAGGGGAGACAGAAGCTGGCCCTGCTCCTTACCGGCCCTGCCCCCAGCCCACCCTGCTGCCAGCCCTGTCGCGGTCGGTCCCGCACGTCCCCGTCTCACCCAGCCCCGCAGCAGCTCGTAGGCCGTGATGCCCAGGGACCACCAGTCGACGGGGTACGAGTACCCAGGGCCTCCATCCACGTACACCTGGAACACTTCTGGGGCTGCCAGAGATAAGGCAAAGAGAACATCATTGTACACCGAGGGTCGCAGCCCCTCCCTGCAGAGGGACGGGGCCCACGAAGCCCGAGGGTTTGGACAGCACAGCCAGTAGGGCTTCCCCTGTGCCCGCAGCGCCTGCTCTCAGGGAGCCAGAAGCAGCTGGGGAGCAAGGAGCTGGTGTCACTGGAGGGCCCGTGACGTGCCCTCCAGGGAGAGCACCAATGTGGCCCAGGAAAGAGTGGCCCCTCAGTGACAGTCAGGCCTAAGCAGGAGGGGTTGGGTCAACACAGCATGAGTCAAGGTCACTGTGCAGCGTGGACGGGACCGAGGCCTACAGTGAAAAGGAAGAGATGGAGCCAAGTCGGGAAGACCTGGGCCAATCCACTGCTTCCGGCCTGCCCACAGGATGCTCCATGCCGCCCCTGCCTTTCTGGGAGCATGCTGTCATCGGGGCCTCACGTGGAACGCCAGGACAGGTGACACCACAGACACCAGAGGCGGGGGGCAAAATATGGGGCGGGGAGTGGGAGCAGCTGCTTTAAGGGGCTGTGGTCCCTTTGAGGCATGAAACACTTGGGAACTAGATACACATGACGGTCGCCCAACATTGCAAGTGTACTCAATACCACTGAATTGTACACTTGGCCACGGCTCGTTTATGTTACGTTGATTTCACCAAGATAAGAAAGAAAGTGAAGGATAGTAGCCCAAATGTGATGTACCCTAATTATATTGGGGACCACATCCCTCTGGGGGTCCCCAGCAGGAGCGCATCCCAAGGTCTCCCTGCTCTCGCTGGCTTCCTGGATGATTGTGTAAGATGCTGATAATCCCAGCACATTAACTCGTGGAGATAATTTCATTTCACAGCTGTCAGAGCCGCTGCAGCCTGTCCGTGCAGTCACATGTGTTGGGACTGAAGCTGTCTCCACTCCACTTCCAGGCAGAGTTGGCCAGGGAGGAAAGGGCCGGATGGGGGAAGAGCAGGCGGTGGGTGGGCAGCTGGACACTGGGGTCTGATCTGTGGATTCTCCTCTTGCTTTGTATTTGACAGCATGCTCTCTCTCACTCATGGGCTGTCTTTATAAGAGCCTTTGGCGACTGTTACCATGTGACACAGGATCAGGTTCAGAGAGTGGTATGGGTGTGAAGGAAAGCACACAGCCAGGGAGTACACAGCTGAGAAATGCTTACCCTTTTGCAGTACCCCTGTTTGTTTGGTGTGTTTTATTTGTGCATTTTAGATATACACAATGAGAGCATTCGTCATAGGGAATTTGTACCTGTCATGATATATCTTGCTTCTTTTTTTCCCATTCCCCTCCTCTCCCTCTCTCCCTTCAACCCCTCTTCCCCTCTCTATTTACAAAATCTTTGTACTGCTGTTTGAAATAAGGCGTGATTCAACATTCTTTCACTACAAAGCTATCCTCAGGGTCACCCCAGGGATGATGAAATGAGGGGTTTCAGGAAGTGTCCCTTTAGGTTATGTAACACAAAGGAACCACGGCGGCGGCATGCGGGGAGACAGGAAGACAGGTGGCTTGGTTGGAGCAGAGGCCGACAAGTGCCTTAACCTCTCCTTTTGTAAACGTGGGTAGTAAGAATGGCTATCATCGGCCTGTGGTGAGGACTACATAGCACACGACATGCCCATCGCTGGGCGTGATGCTCTGCAAACACGGGGCATGGTTGATCGGGCTCGGATTGTCACTCAGACCTGCTCTTCCTCTGTCTTGCTTTGCCACCCCACCACCCACCCAGAGGCCTGGGGACCATCCTAAACTCCCTCCTCCTCAGTCCAGACCACTGGCCTCCAAACCCTGTAGGTTCTGTATTTTTTCTATCTTTTTATCTGTCCTTTCTTGTCCATCCTAGATTAGGCTGACTCCCAGGTCTGTGAGCTTCCTTTTCCTTAAGCCACTGGGGAGCAAATATTTACTGATTTTCCAGCACATGCAAGGCCCGGAGGTGTGCTATTCAGGATCCCACCTGGATGCCACCACCACGCCCAGAGCTGAGCTCTAATGCACAGGGTAGTCCATCCCTGCAGGAGTCATGCCCTGTCCCTCTTCCTTCTGTCCCCAGAGTTCTGGGAGAGGGTCCATGTGGTGCCGGACTGAACTTCCTTGGGCCTGGACAGCAGCTAGTCTGCCCACCACCACCTCCAACAGCTCCCTTGGATGCAGGAATGGGTGCGTGTGGCTCGGTGACACCCACGAGTCCCCTTCATGCCCAGCAGCCCCGAGTCCACTTGGAATTCGAGGGAAATTCCCCGGGTGATTTATCCTGCTCCAGCTGTCAGGAGCAGTCAAGTGGCAAATGTCTGCACTGATAGGGAAGGTGGCATTCTCTCCCCCCCCCGCATAGTTGGGGTTCATGACACAACACGAACAGCATTTATGTCTTAATCCCTATGACACCAAAATTACCACTCTGGTGGTGGGGAACCGTAGCACTTAGACTTGAGGGAGTCATGCAGGGTTAGAGCTGGAAGGACAGTCACAGCCCTGTTCCTGATGACATCCTCGCACATGTGGATGGATGAGCACCGGCCATCGTGACGGCCGGGGGGTGCCGGGGTTTATGCCTGCTGCCTCTCAAACCCTCACAGCCATGCAGTGAGATGGGTACCGGGAGGATGGGAAGGTTGAGGCTGAACGGGAGCACCCCTAAGATACGTCCACATCCGAGCCTTGCACCTGTGAATGGGGCTCTATTTGGAAATAGAGTTTCTGCAGGTGTAAATAAGTTAAGGGTCTCAAGATAAAAATCGTCCTAGATTTATATTGGGCCCTAAAACCAATGGCTGATGTCTTTGTAAGAGAAAGAACATAGAACTTGGAGACAGAGGCAGAGACTGGGGTGTTGGAGCCTCAAACCCAAGAGAAGCACCCAGGAGCCCCCAGAAATTGAAAGAAGTGGGAAAGAGTCTCCTGAGATCCTCCCGGGGAGCCTCACCCTGCCCACACCTTGATATGGGGCACTATTCTTCAGGACTGTGAACAAAAGAATCTCTGTTCTTTCATAACACTAGAGATTTGCTTCTTGGCCACAACCCCTGCAAGGGTAAGAAATGCCCAAGTCAGTTACCTGTCCAGCAGGTCTGGGTTTTCTGACAGCAGAATTCTTTCTTCCATTCAGGGGACCCCTAGGAGGGACTGAGTTGCTTGGTACTCACCCAGGTACAAGCAAGCACTTAATAAATGTGTGTCTATTGGCTCTTTCACCCCTGAGGCTGTGCAGCGGGTGCCGCTTTTTGACAGCTGCCTGGGAAGTAGAAACAGCTTTTGGGCTTTCGGGAGGTCAGCCTGGCAGAGGTGACAGGTGCTTGGAAAACCACTGTCATGTCCCCTCCTTGTTAGATTGGCCACAGGCGGGAGAAAGCAGAGTGACTTGCCTTGGGCACCTCTTTACCCTCTCCGGGGAGGAGTCTAGACCTCCCGGTGCTGGCTCCAGGCTTCAGAGTGTCCATGCTCGTCACTGTAACGTGTGGCTGGCAGTTCTAGGTGGTTCTGCTTCCTCCCCAGCTCACACCTTGGTTCTGACAGCAGCCTCCCCTCCTATCTCCTGCAGACCCCTCATCCATCTCAGCTTTCTGATGTGAGACTCAGCCCACAAAGGATGCTCCTGCAGGACATCCTGCCATAACTGGCTTCACACACTGATCCTTGTAACACCACCAGCACTGGAGGCTCACTGATGCCAGAGGAGGGGAAGACTGGGGTCCAAACCGCCTGGGCAATGAGGCTGGGCCACTTTCTTCCCTGCTGGCCTCCTCAGAGTCTGTCGCGTGACAACGTACTTGGGGGGCATCTCAGAGGAGCCCAATGCAACAGCAGGTGTGGTGTGGAAATGTGTCCGACTTGATCCTGGAATTTTTTCTGCTTTTCTTCTTTGGAGGAGCACTGTAGGTGCTGGGGCTGGGGTCTGACGTGGCCTAGAAGGTGACTCCAGATTCTAGAGCCCAGAACTTGGGCTCCTCAGCATCTGCATGGGTCTGGGCCCAGCTGTATAGCAATCAGTGGATGCCTAGAATCCCAATGGCAGCACTCCCTGTGTACACTGTTTATTCCTATGCATACACACCCATGATAACTGAGGAACCAGGTGCAGTCAGGAGTTAAGAGCAATAACTAATAACAAAACAGAACAAGTCTAAGAATAGGTTGCAACAAAAGTTATGTGAATGTGGCCTCTTTCTCTCAGAAAATATCTTACTATATTGTACTAACTCTTCTTATGATGTGAGACAGAAGCCCACATGATCAGAGGAAGAGAGATGGATGATGTGGGCATTGTGATGTGGCCTTAGGCTGCCACGAAAAGGTTACTGAACAAAAGCGTGGAGGTCCTATGACGGTTGATCTGATACCTCAGACAGTTAAGTGACTAACAGGAGGGTAATGTATACAGCAGGTGCACACCAGACAAAAGGGGTGATTCACCCCAGGGCTGGGTGGAGTGGGATTCTATTACATTATTCAGAATGCTGCACAATTAAAAACTTCCGAACACTTTACTTGTGGAATCCTTCATTTAACATTTTTGTTTCGCTGCCTGCTGCGCAAGCATAAGGACTCGAGTTTGATCCCCGGTACCAAAAAAAAAAAAAAAAGATAAACATTTTTGGACCACAGTTGACCATGGGTACCTGAAACACTGGGAAGTAAAGAATGCATGGGGACAAACATTGTGCCACCGTGACTGCTCCTAGCCATGCCAGGCTCCAGCTTCTCATGCTTTGTGCTGTTTGTTCCTGGCACACCCCATCTTGATCTCTGTGCCTCTCTTTCCTCTGTGCTGGGCTCTGTCAACAAAGGTACAGCACCAGGATTGTGTCCTCCAGGAACTTATGTCTTCCCATGCATCGCTGAATGTGTGGACTTACATCTGGGCTGCCTTTATTTCCTCCCCACCTCCTCTTTGCCCTCCACTCTCTCCACCTCCTATTGTCCTGTTGTATTTTTCTCTCCGGTCTGCTTTCTCTCTAGACTCCAGG